AAGCGTTGTATTATGTCTTCGCAACAACATGCGTTACCTCAATAATCGAGCACATGGATCGTGTTCTCAATCGCTGTCGTTATGCCCTACATAGACCCGGGATGGCTATTTGGCCTATACCACGTCTAGCTTCAGGCCGAACTATGCACATTCCTCGATCTACCCGTTGCCACGTCAGAACCCAAGAGTTCCCGCTCATGCCTTACTATCCCGGTTCCTGTCGCATTCCTCGTACCTGGTTTTCTTCAGGGATACTCTTGTTCCAGCCAGATCCCGATACCGCCGATACACCCCGGATGAACTATGCGGTATGTAGGATTTACTCCTCAGTGCACATCTCAAATAAACGCTCCGTAGCTGTAGCCTTTAGTAGTTTGTCACAGATGGCTGACGCAAATATTGCAAAGCAAAGTTGACAGACTGACAGACTGGCACCTACACTGAACATCAACATTCACCGAGTAGTTCGTCTTCAATCGCACTAGTGATTCTGTGCAAGGGGCATGTCTTGCATCGTCCTCGTACAGGAGGGTATACTACATTAACACAGGAAACAGGACTTGCTGTATGCATCTACGTATGATTTAATACTGCATACGCAGTATATGTACATAGCAAGGGGCGTGGAGTCTGCCCTGCCAGGTACGTATCTAGTATCCCGACTTGCCTGCACCTGGTGAGTCCGCAATGCAGGACGCATGAACTGGCGGTGAGTCGATTCATGCTTCTTCTAGTATCAGGATATACGAATGCGAGTTGACTGAGCAAGTAGTACGTGGTTGGTCTCCATCGTTGGAGCTGTCATCGTCGTTTGGTGCTCGTGAGGGAGCGGTAGCGGTAGTCTTCTCTCGATCATAATCAGCAATTCAGTTGAGGTTATCGGCAGCGTATACTTGTTGAGATATTGTTAATGTTATACACGTGCGTCTGCTATACTTTCACTCAGTCAGGACAAGTCCCTGGTAGTACTAGTTCTCAACCACGCCAAGACTGCGTCTGTGAGGGCAGCTGATGCCTGACGCTGCATGCTTCCAGTGCCTGGCACAACTATAGCCCAGGTTGAGGACCACGGATGTGTCCATTTGGCGGAGGTATCTGGTGGTCCCAGTCAAGGCCATCACGTCAAGTCAATGTGGCATGGCGTTGTATGAGGATATTGACTTTCACTCTTGTTGGTGATACTCGGGCTTGCTCTACCATAGTCACACGAGAGAAGTATGGATTACCTTGTGTAGCTTCTCTACTTTGAGATGAGACTCGACTGTGAGATCGGAAGATATATAGTCACTCTGATCAGTTGGCTGGCTGCTTTGAATCTTATCGGGTTGCTGTCCTCGTTGACGCGGAGATATATATTCAGCTTGGAGGTTATCCTAATGTGAACTAGCATGCAGCGCCACCATGAACAAAAGTAGTAAATAGAATCTCCATAGCAAGATGACCTCTTCCTCGCGACACTCGTCTCTTCTTGTTCGATCAGAAATTATACCGAGTACGTCCTCTGTGGTACGAAACCCCCAAAGCGGCAATCCATCGGAAGGCGCTAACCCGATTTGGTGGACGCCTCATGAATTTTCTGTTGTCGCAGCCTATCACCACCATCGAATCGCTGCATTTCGAACCAGCAGCTACTGCCCTGAAAATAGCCTCTGCTCGATATCTGTGACTATATCTGGTCCCTACCAAGGAGAAAAAGAAAAAAATTCCTAGCATCTCAATCATGGCGCAAACCCACGCCGGCTCGAAGAAGCGGCGGCGCGAGCCATTCAACGTCGACACCAAACTGGTCGAGATCTACGAGGACCTCGCGAATGAAAAGGACGAGATCCGTCTGAAGGCCGCGCAGGCTCTGGTGTCGCAGTTCACGCCGGACAAGAACCCCCCCGACGAGCAGATCAGACGGGCCCTGCAGAGACTTTTCCGCGGGCTCTGCAGCAGCCGCAAGGCCGCGCGAATCGGCTTCTCCATTGCCTTGACGGAGATCCTGACGCAGATCTTTGCGGCTCCGCGCGAGTCGTCGGAGGTTACTGTCCCGGCTGTCATGGGTATCTGGGAGTCGCAGTCCAACTCGTCGGGCAGCGAGTCGGGCCAGGTAGGGCGCGGGTTGATCGAGTGCGCGGGAATTTAACTTTTGCTGACTCTGTCTGCAGGAACAGAGAGATCATCACTTTGGACGGCTGTTTGGGGCTGAGGCTATTGTCAAGTCTTCGATTCTGTTCAAGGACAAGGTTCCGCCGGCGGAGTGGACCAAGCTCGTGGATTTGGTGTTTGAGCTGGCTAAGAAGAAGCCGTGGATCAGAGAGGAATGCGGCTGGATTATCTATCGCTGCGTTTTCGATCTTGCTTCTCAGAAGGCGGATGCTAGGTATGTGGAAGTCGCGCTGGAGCGTCTCTGTTCGAACGATCTCGCTCGTACACCAGAGGGTGTCTCGATCTGGCTTGCGGCCAGGGAAGCCTACCCCAAGGCCGAATTCCCCAGCAAAGTATGGAAACATGATGATCCTTTAGATTCCCGGGAGAGGAGCCAGCTTGCCAAGGTCATGAAAGATTCTTCTGCTGCGGACTCCGAGGCGGGAAGCCAGGGGAATAACCCCAAATCATCTGGAGTGTGGAGCTCCAAGTTGCACTTTGCTTGGGATGCCGTTATCAGGCAGCTTGCCGACGTATCAGCCAAGGAGTCTTCCACGTCCAAGAGCCCGTCTCGTCTCAGCTTTGCTGATTTCTGGACGGAAGTCGTCGACAGTAAGTTTTTGTCGCCTTCTAGGAGAACGCATCTAACCGGTTCCTTGTAGATGGCCTGTTCGCGGCATCCTCGTCCGAGGAACGCAAGTACTGGGGCTTCCTCGTCTTCATCAAAGTCATCAATGAAAGCCCCCTGCAACTGGCTTCGCTTGTATTCACCAAGAATCTCGTCAGATGCCTGACGAACCAGCTCGCCGTCGAAGACCGATACCTGCACCGGATGGCCGCCAAGGCCGCCAAATCGATCCAGGCGCGTGTCGCAAAAGATCCCGAATTCGCCGCGGCCTCTGTCATCGGGCTCATGGGCTCGGCCGGTTCCGTCAACTTTGACCAAGCCACCAAGACGAAAACGATCGAAAAGACTGTTGTCGAGGCAAACCTCGATGCACTGAAGCAGATCGTGCCTTTCTTCGAGAAGCTCATCGCGAGCCCCGGGACGGACGACGGCAAAGCTGCAGCAGCAAGCCGGCAGTCTCTCGCCGGTCTGCTCTTGTCCATCGTGAGATCCCGCGCTTCGGCCAGCGATGAGTCTCAGGACGGCTTGCAGACCGTTCTGGAACAGATCCTGTTCACGTTCGTGCGTTTCGGCTATTTCATGGCCAAGGACGATGCGGCTGTTCAGCCAGCCTTGACCCAGCAGAGCCAGGAGCTTTTCCGGAACAGAATCAGCTCCTGTCTGAACAGTCTGATTGCCAACCCAAAGCATGCAACTACCCTCCCATACGCTGTTGTACGGAAGATCCGCGACGCCGCCAAGTCGGAGGGGTATGGCAAGTTTATTATCAACATGGACGACACTCTTCGTGACTCAGTCAAGACTGCTTTCAAGTCTCTGAAGAAGCTGTCCAGCATGGTCAGTATCACCAATTTCCCGAAAGTTTCCTCTTACTGACTCGAAACAGGAAAAGAATGAGGTCTCCGGCGTCGAGGCGTTCAAGCTTCTGTATTCGATGACAATCCTGCAAGTGTACAATGGCGATGCCGATGCGGTGTCCATGCTGGACGAACTCGATTTCTGCTACACCAAGTTCTTGGGAGACAAGAAATCAAAGGACGAAGCCTCTGATGCCTCTGATGCGCTGGTGGAAATTCTGCTGAGTTTCGCATCCAAGCAGTCGCAACTCTTCCGCCGTATGAGTGAGCAAGTATTCGGTGCTTTTGCCGACAAGGTCACCGAGAACGGCCTGGAATCCCTTGTATCTGTATGTCCAGTCCAATTTTGAGATCTAGTTCCGTCACTGACCACGGTATCAGATTCTGGAAGCGAAGGAAAGTCTTGCTGGCCAGCAAGAAATGTTCGAGCAGCAGGATGATGAAGAGGACGAAGAGATGATGGATGTCGACGAAGACGACAGTGACGTCGAAGTCATCGACGCAGAGGGTTCGGATGATGAGGAAAGCGAGGACGCCGCCTCGGACGAAGAAGGCGAAAACGACGAGGAGATGGCCGCCTTCGAAGCCAAGCTCGCCGAAGCACTCGGCACCCACCGCGCAGACCAAGACCTCAACGAACCGTCCGAGGATTCCGACGCCGACATGAACGACGACGAGATGGAGCAGATCGACGAGCAGCTGGTCAAGGTGTTCCGCGCGCGCCGGGACGCCCTCGGACAGAAGAAGGACAAGAAGGACGCCAGGGAGAACATGGTCAACTTCAAGAACCGCGTCCTGGACCTGCTGGAGATCTACGTGAAGAAATGCCACTCGAAAGTCCTGGCGCTCGACCTCCTTATCCCCCTGCTGCGTCTCACCCGCAAGTCGACCGTCAAGCAGCTCGCCAACAAGGCTAACACCGTGCTCCGCGAGTATACCAAATTGTGCAAGGGCAACGCCCTCCCTTCGCTGGAGTCCACCGAGCCGGTGTGGGAACTGCTAAAGTCCATCCACGCCGAGGCGACGCATAGTGGTCCGGCCGCGCATGCTTCGGCCTGCAGCCAGGCGAGCCTGTTGGTGGTCAAGGTGCTGGTGGCGCACGACAAGAACGCCATCTCGGATGTGGTGGATGTGTATGCGGCTACGCGGAAGGAGCAGCTTCTCAGCAAAAAGTGCCATGTCCAGCCTCAGTTTTTCTCCGACTGGAACAACTGGTGTGTCTCTGCCAGCAAGCAGATGAAGAATTAGCCGTACCACTCCGGACGCGATGTCATATATGATCCACGTTAGATACCTTCCAGTGTTCACAAATAGACATAGTGTACAGTACATATCATGCAAAACTACTTCATTTGGTGAATTCCAATTGTCAATGCTTGGCTACCTCAAAATCCTTTAATATATCGGTGCTGCGTCGTCTCCTCCAGCACCTCAAACTTCATCCCCACCTCAACAACACCCTCATTCCGCGGCGCACTCAGCATCCCAAAGCAAGGCTTGTACTTCATCCCCTCATCCACCCGGCGATACGTCATCAGCGTATCCCAAGGCTCCCGCTTATGCTTCTCAGCCGTGTCGGGATCAACATTCGGCACCTGGCACCGCGCACAGCGCGCCACGACATCCAAGTCCAACGGCCGCGCACCGAGCTCCCGCCCAGACGAACCAATCCGGACCGTCTTCCACGAATCCTCAGCCCAAGGCGCATTGCCCCGGATGATGATATTCGGCCGGAACCGCTCAACGGTAATCGGATCCGCGCCTTTACCGCGTAGCCTCTGGTTGAGTTCCACTAGGGACGCCTCGGACGCAATCAGCACGGGATGCACGTCGGGGAAGTTGGTGCTCTGTTCGCGGCCCAGCAGCCGCGGGTCACCGTTGCCCTGCAGAATGCGCGGCGTGGGCCCCTTGTAGACGAGACACACGGCGCGCTGCAGGAAGCTGGAAAACGGCGCGTTGACGGCGTCCCCGTACACGTGGCCGTCGGTCACGGTGTCCCAGATCTTGACCTGGGAGAGGGTCGTGTTTGCCGCCAGCCAGGCGGCGTCGGGGCGTGCGGGGATCTGGACCTCCTCTGGGGAGCCGGTGATGCTGAGGAAGAGGGAGTTGCCGTCCTCGCTGAGGGCTGTGTTGATCAGTGTCATTTGGGGGATTTGGCGGATGGTGATGAACTCGTGTGTCTTTGCGTCTACGAACATCCATTGTCTGTCGAGGTCTAGGCCGTGCATGCGGAGTTTGGTTCTGGTGAGTTGGAACCCGCGACAGGACTTGATGGGGTAGACGCGCAGAGAGACTATCTCGCTGGTGGTCTCTTTTTGCAGTCTGAGGGCTTGTAGCAGACTGGATCTGTTGGTTCGCGCCCAGTTTATGACTCTTGGGGAGAGGACCACCAGGAGCAGTCCGAGAGCGGCTACTGGGAGGACTGGAAAGGAGAAGTCCATCGTCTTTGTTGACATTTTCACTGTCCTTGGTTGTCAGTCATTCAGCTTCAATCTTCTTCCACGTCCTCTGGTGTTACGTTGCGCATACTCTGTAGATCTGGATTGATAAGCAAAAATATCGGTATTCTGCCAGAATTTGCCGCCCTGTCATCGCTTCTCCTTATCGTTCTCAATGAGTCAGGTCATGCTTGGCCTTAACATTGCTGATAATCATATGGAGGCTCTATCTTGTTGTTCTTGGAGCGTGCAGTTACTGCAATGGCAGTAGTAACAAACCTTGTGTAGGCGTTCCTTGGTTGAGCTCGAGCAATCCGTGGATGTATATAATTGTAGGCTGTGTCCGAAGACGAAGACATTAGTGCATTATCAATGATTAGAATAATCAAACTAGATGTATGGCCATCATCTAAGCATCCAAGCTATGCGTATAAGTCATGCAAATCATGAATGTACCAATCTGAAAGCATGCAATTCCCCAATCACCATGCCTTTACATCGTCCCGTCCGCCCAGCATGTGATTAGGGCCTTGATCAATGCAATGGTAGCCTCTCTCCCGGTCTGGACAGCTCGATCATTATAGGCACCAGGGACATGCAAGAACACCACGTTCCGGTCCTGGCCTTGTCTAAAGGCATGTGCCAGACTGGTGTAGAAGATAAATTCACAGAGATAACGTCCGGCATCTTCTGAGATCCGGACGTCGGCTCCCGCAGCAAATGACTTCCATACATTGAGGAACTTGTCGTTCGGTGGGTGAGGGTTCCAGGAAGACTGTACAGCCTGCGACAATGGAGGTACCACTTGATCATGTGTTTCTTCTACTATGTCCGAGACAGTCAGGAAATCGGCCGATCTTCCCGCCTGCAGCACGGGAGGCAGATCGAGCTCTCTCCATCGTTTCTCTCCATCTTCGTAACCAGTTCGCCCTTCGATATCCGACATGAGATACGAGTCTCGGTGTGCCTTTGTCTCGACCGAGTAGTATTGTCTCGTTGCTGCTATGCCCATGTGGATGACAATATCTGGTCGTCGACCGCCGTGCGCCTTAGCATAATCATCGACTATGGAAGGGACGTCTGAATGGACCGTGGAATAAGCGACCGGGATAGGGTTCGGATGGACATGAATGAACACTCGACGAGTCGTAGGGACCCACCCGTCCAGGGATGTAGATGAGCTTTGTGGAACAGTAAAGGTAAACGAAGGAGGAAGGGACGAGGCGATCAAGTACGAGGCGTTGACGAGATTAGTCTTGAAAGGCTAGTAGTCGAGTCAGTATGAGCTTGCACTTGCGCCAAGATGGTGAAGTGAGAGGAAAATAAAGCTCTCGGCAGCAACACTTACACCGAATCCAGTGACAAGAACAGTGATCTCATCCGAGTCTGCAGAAGGTAGTGAAGGACGCCTAGCAACTTGAGTATGGATTGATGGCACAGCTGGTCCGCAGTCTCCCATGATGATAACAGATTAGTGCTAACTGCTAACGATGGGAGGGGAGATTGGGATGTGTCAACCGAGACACTTAAAAATCTTATTCTTCTGGTGCAAAATAGCATTCAGAGATTTAGTTTAACCTCATGAAAAGCAGCATGGACATATGAAAATTGGCTCTCTCAGAGGTCATATGGACAAGGACAAGTACAACTGGGGATTCTGATCGACCTCATGTCCTTATCTCTGCTCCGGGGACCCCGCATACCTTAGGTCTTGGCATCACGAGATCATTGCCACTGGAGAGTGAATATCAACACAACTTACATCTCCTTCTTAGGCTCAATTCTCTCTTCTCTTCTCTAATGTCCAATCCACTCAAATTGTGCCCCTTCGAAGACAATGGAACTTACAAGGAAAAGATATGATCCTCAGGGAACTTTATCACCGCACTGATCTACAGTGCTCTTTCATATCCCATAGCAAGTGAAACCACCCCGAGTGTCTCGTCAACAAGGTCACCGACACGGATATCGAGGAAGTGGAAACGTGCGTAGCCAAGCCTGGTGACAACGACGCATTCAATATGGGATCCCGACCCACATTGGCCAGATCCCCATCCAATACAAGATCGATTCAAAGCGGAAAAATCGATGCCTTTGATATGGGAACCATGACTACCCTGGGACAAGCCTCGGTGCAACACAAGACACCTTCTGACAACAAGGTTACCAAAAATTCAGTTACTGAACGTATCTATGGTATCAGAACCGCCAGCATAGCTGTTATCTGAGAGATCAATACAGAAGAAGACAAGATACGCAATTGAATCGGTTCAATTGATTCTATACAGCACCCACAAAGGTTTACAGCTACTATCGTGACTGTACAAGGTGATATACAGAATCTATAGTAGAAACCCCCAAACGAGAACAAAAATGGCCAAGAGAACCCGCGAGGCTGGTAATGCAAAGGGAAGAGGGACGCAGAGGGCTACCTCGTCAAGTATTGCCCTCATTTGTCTCCCAGAATTGGGTGAGAGCTCAAGGTCTGCTACTGATAAAGCCGAGAATGAGCGTCAGGCCGGTGGTCCGTCAAAACGGGCTAGATATAATGCTGTTCCCTAACTCCGAGACCGACGATGATGCCGATGATGAGCACTTCTACTCGGACGACGATCACACCGACGAGGAATATGTCGTTTCCAGTGACAGTGATGATGATAGTCTCCCCGAGCCTGATGCCGAGGATAGGGCCCTTGCTGTCGTTCCCCGATACCGACGATGATCCTGGTAACGATGACGCTGGTAACATTCGGTGAGATGATAACGGCGAGCTATGAGTGTTCAAGGCTGACTTTTCAGGAAACCTTATAACACAGTAATGAACACTGTGGCTGCAAATCATGCCCAAAGTCGCCAAAGCGCTTGGGAGACAATATGAACTTGTGGGTTGTCGGCGGCAATGGCACCGTCAAGGCGGTCCTCATACTGATATGGAGCAAGGTTGGGACAACAAACACCGTCACGGGAGAGGCAGAATACACACCCTGGACCGGAACGGAATGCCTGTTCTAGCGACATGTCATATTTCCAGCACCGCCCCCACCACAAGCCCAAACGCAGATGTTGAACCTGACCCGAAGAATCCTTTTCGGCCAACTCAAAAATAAAGGTATCACCACGGAATGGGGAGCGGAAAATCTTAACCAGCTGCGCCAGCACGGTAAGAGAACAAAGGATGACCCGACGCCACCGACACAAGGAGCCGACAGACCGGAGCAGAGAGGTGAGGAGACGGCAACTGCTGATGTCCTCGAGACTACCGACGTTGAACCCAATTCAGTTGTTAATACGCACACCCCTTTTCATCTGCCGCGTTCGGAGCCGCTAATTAACTTTTTCCGCAGAGCGTGCTCACAAGTTATCCTATCTACATCTACCTTCGCCCATATCTGGTCTGATGCGGACCGTCAGGCCATTCCTGATTATGACTCTGCACGACTGACATACACCCAGCTGGTGGAGCTGTATAACTACCTATAACAACAGATTGGAGAAGTTGAGAGACCAAGCCTGGCACTATGACCCCTTAGATTGCGCATCAGGTTTCCTTTGTTGTTCATCATTTATTGTTCATCATCTGTTGTTCATCATTCATTATTCATTATGATACCTTGTTAGGGAACAGTCAGGGTCGACTGCTTTCTGTTCATACCCTACATCTTTCATCACGGACAGACGTTCGCGCCTGATGACAATCCGGTTTACCTTGCTCCATGGGTCTCGTCAAACCAAGAGCCCCTCCTGAATTTCCTACCTGCTAAGATAACATCAGTTCAAAACACAGTCGACCTGATCTCCAAGGAGATCGAAGGACTCGACAAGGCCACAACTACACTGACTAAAAGGAAGCTCCGCTTTTGATATGAGGATGACGACGCCGATGAACCAGAACTAATAATCCCTAAACCAAATGACCAAGCCCTACTAATGCAATGGATAATGGATAATGGAGAGGTACAACTCATGGTCAGCTAAGGCTCCCAAACAGTGGGATAATCCCTATTCCTTCTACGACCTACCAGTCAACGCAAGCGCATTCTTTGACAAGACCCCATGGCCTGACCAAGTCTTGTGACTAGATGTTCCACTCAGGGTATAACAGGACATCATAAAGTTCCCTTAGGGAACACCAGCAGCCGCCTTGACTCATATGCTTAACGGGATGCCCAGATACGATCAAAATACCATCTACTCTGATGATGCTTTGAACCTACTCAGGGACCTGGAGGAATTCTACTTCGCGCAGAAAAACCGCGCTGACCTGGACTGGAAAACCCTACACAAGTGGCTGTTGACAGCGGATCTAAGAAAGCAACTACGAGACCGTTTAACCAGCCTAGGCGCCACCCAGAGTACTCACCCCGACTACCTTCCGGCAAAGAAACCCAAGAAGGCGACTCCAGGATTCCTGATAGGCATTTATGCGACCTCACATGACCAGCGACCATTACTTCTGTATTCCAGTTTAGTTCCTGTATCTTAGCCTCTTTGAGCATCGAACACCAGATTGAAATTTGACTACTATCAAGCCTCGATTTGATCATTATCAAATTCCATTGATCTCCATCATCCTAGCATCCCGACAGAATCATCTCGATCGATTTCAATATACAGACCCAACGGATTCGGTCATTTGTGGCGTCCCCAGGCAGGAAATCCAAATGATGTGTTCCTCTGCGTTTCGATGGACTTCGAGATCTTGCAGTGGACGCTCTCGCCGAAATGCGGCTTGTGCCAGCATAGATGGGAGGCAAAGTCCGCTTTGCTCTCTCCTCTTTCAATAGATGATATAGGCGACCATAACAAGGAAATCCGATTTGATGTTGGAGATGTCTTTGGCTCTCTATGGTTTGCCTAAAGCTTACAGCATGCTCAGGAGGTTTAGGGGGTTGAGAGGGGATCTGGCATGCTCGCAGCCAGGTAGATGACAGCCATCTTAGTGATTCCTGAATCCCTGAGGAAATGGCCAGCGTCTTTGATTAGCCGAAGAAGGGGTATTTAAGGAGTATTAGGTGACTTAGGTTAGTGATTTAATCCCTAGGAATGCGAGCATTTGATTTTGTATTGCAATCAAGATTATAATGGAGTTTGATTGTAACTATAAATTGCCTGTTTAGGAATAAGGGATTCATCCAGCAGGGTGTGGAGGAATCATTTCCCATATTGTATTGACATAACAATATCTTCCAAGCCTGTCGTATCCTCTCGTCTACAATCCACCAAGCAGCTATCTGACCCCATTCAAGACCGGATCACGGAAGGCGTTTGAACCGAGTCTCGAAACAGTAAACGCTCATCAAGAAGTCCACTAGTACCTACAGCTGTCTACTCTCAAATCCGCCAATCTGATCCTTTGATTTGCGGCAACAAGCCCCATCGTCGTATCGGAAACTGAGCCACCCGCAATCCCGCATAGGACGGACAGCTGTTGCTTCGCTTAACCTCAGATCGACGATCAGAGGATACAATCAGCCAATTATGGGTTGCAGATTCCTCATCTTCGAGGTAACGAGAGTAAGGGTTCTCTTCAGTAATCGTCTCCACGACCACATTTGACTGACGGTTGGCAGAATGGCACCTTGAGTGAACTTCATGGCGCAGCCAGCCTACCTTGAATGTCGCATCTGCATCTAAAACACTGAATTTCCTAATGGGGTAACACACATGCTAATTGGACTGGTTGCGCGGACCCCGCGGAGAGTTTCCTCGAGCATTCAACGGCCAAGCAAGTGTCATGCTTGCATGCATTCTACGCCTGATCGGCTAGAACTTCCCGCTGCTGGAAAGTAATGACGAGACAGAAGCAGCACCGATGCTATGATCTCTCCACACACATGCGAGTCCAACGGTTCAATGCCGATCTCGTATTCGACGTATTCACTGTCGAATGAGTCCCCGCACGGAACGACTGATCCCGTGAATCCAAATAGATGGACTCCTGCCTTGTATAGGGCCTATAGATCAGTGAATGCAGCGGGGTTTCATATATACCTCTCCGCGGAAGTGGCGTGGTCCTTTTCTTTCTTTGCTGCTGCACCCCAGATCCCAAGGCAATCAACATGGCTTTGATCTCTGAGTTGCTCGAAAGTCAGTACCTTCTTCAAGGCATCGCTGTGGCCTTGTTTCTGGTGATTGTGTCGAACTTTTATCAAGAGCTTGCGGATGGCTTTCCGTACCGGAAGATACCCCTTGTTGGGAGGAGCAGATGGGAAATCTCAAACAGCAAAGCCAAAGAGCGCTTCGTGGCGTCCGCGAAAGAGCTCATTGCGCAAGGCTTCAGTCAGGTATGAGAATGAATCTTGCTCGACATGTGTCAGGAGCAGCCACAGCGGTTGGCAGGGAGAGCTGACATTGGGGTTAGGGCAGGACTGTCTTTCAAATGATGTTCTCCCACACTCCCATGATCGTCCTGCACCCTCGGTACATAGATGAGATCAAGAGCCATCCGGATCTGAACTTCGATGAAGCTAATAAGAAGGTGAGAGTCGCTATAATCGTAAAGCAGCAACAGGGAGGTTGTGCTGATAATGCAGGCGTTCTTTGGCGCCAAAGTTCCCGGGTTCGAGGCTTTTGAAGGACTGGACAAGGATCACATCTTGTTGGATGTTATCAACAAGAAGCTAACTCATACACTTGGTATGTGACGTTGGTGGCGTGGTGCAGAGGTACCTCTTGCTCACTGACTAACGGTGAAGGTAACCTTACTATCCCTCTTTCCAGAGAGACCGCGGCCGTGCTCAAGGAGACATTGCCCCAGAAATCCGATGGTAAGTCCTCCCGATAGGCCCTTTTGCCCTTTCTGACAGGACAACAGAGTGGCAATCTCTAGTCTTCGCTCGGGAGATTCCATACATAGTTGCCCGATTGTCGTCCCTTGTATTTCTGGGCGAGAAGATCTGCCGTGACAGGGAATGGCTGACTGTGTCTGTCAACTACACCACCGATGCATTCATCGGCGCGCGCGATCTCAGACTATGGCCCTCGATTACCCGACCCCTGGTGCACTGGTTCCTGCCGTCAACACGAAGAGTCCGGAAGCACATCCGAGTTGCAAAGAAGATTGTTCAGAACGAGATCCAAAAGCGAGAACTGATCCGGCAAGGCAAGCTTCCAGAAGAGGATCCTCCACGGACTCACGCCGATGCCCTCGACTGGTTCAGGGAAGTCGCTGCTGGCCGCCCGTTTGATGAGACGAGAAGTCAGATCGGTCTTTCTCTGGCAGCGATCCACACCACTTCCAACCTTCTGACAAACGTCATGTATGACTTGATAGCCTACCAGGAATACATCCAACCACTCCGGGATGAGATTATTGCCGTCGTGGAGGAGGACGGGTGTCTGAAGAAGACCAGCCTTACGAAGCTGAAGCTGATGGACAGCGTGATGAAGGAAAGCCAGCGCATGAACCCTGTCAGCATTGGTAAGTGATTGCTGCCTGAGGGGCTCCTTCGGCATAGCGCTGATTCTTCCAGCCTTCCTCCAGCGTCTCGCACAGGCAGACATCACTCTGTCCGATGGCACCTATATTCCCAAGGGAGGAGTGCTGATCGTCTCCGCTCACACCCTGAGAGATGAATCCATCTACCCTAACGCGGGTACCTTCGACGGCTACCGCTTCTACAACAAACGCAAAGAGCCCGGCAATGAGCACCGGTACCAGTTCGTCACAACGAGCACAGAGCACTTTGGCTTTGGACATGGCGTGCACGCGTGTCCTGGGCGATTCTTCGCAGCGAACGAGGTGAAAATCCTCCTGGTCCATCTGCTGATGAAATACGACTGGCAGTTCGCAGAGGACCGGGGACGTCCCCAGCCGTTCATGCACGGCACCGAAATCATCTGCGACCCGACTGTGAAGTTGCTTTTCAAGGCACGAACACCGGAGATCAATCTATCGAAGCTGGGAGAATTGCCAACGGATAGTCAGTGTCAGCCTGAGGTAGAGCTCTTCGACCATGGTGCAAAGTAAATAGCCCGTATGTACGGTGTACTCCGTACCAGATAGCAATGCACATATCTTTTGTCTTATATCATGTCTGCCACGTACTTTTCTGTACACGAGCCACGTACGATGACATACCATTGAGTCGGTCGAACCTGTTTTGATGACCGGGCAGAGGCCACAACACATCATCTCATGTAAGGATTCTCCAGCAGATGCACCTTGTAAGGATAACATTCTTGCTACCCAAGCATGCGTTCAATTCTAGTACACTTTTCAACTATCGATACGTGACTGCCATTCCGATCCGTCTTTAATCGACTCCTGTTCCACTTTGCGAGAATATCACAACATCAGTCGGATAAAAGTAAAATCCCGAACTCAATTACAGGCCATATCCTTGATTGCATGCGGGACATGAATCACTGCAGCTGTTAGCTACAGCGAGTCAGCAATCGGCATGAATCAATGCATATACATCCGCCCAGCGAGCCTCATAGATATCGTACCATCATGCAACCACCAATTGTGGACGCAAGGGCGCGATAGTCAGGACCATGCAGGTAGCTACTTTTCTTCTGCTGGATCGAATGTAACCAGCCCTTAGTATTTATCCATCTTCTGGAGTCCGTCCGCAGACAGACGAGGTCGGGGCAATATAAGGAATGGTCAACATCAACTACTATCCATGATCTTCAATATGCCACGGGCCCTGGATCATGGCGTAGCCATACCGAAAGTCTCTTTGTCCCCGGCTCTGAGTTTCCGAGAGGCTGAGACGGGAGCAGTTCCATGGAAATATTCGTGACGCGGATCTCGAGCAGATCAGGGTCTTACTCTTACCGAGATCCTTAAGCTTATGGGACAAAGAAATCAGGATTCAAGCTGGACGGATGCCGGATTCAGGCCTCTAGCTTTAGCTCTAGCCTGGCCCATGACCCAGAGCTATGGAGGATGGGGTATGCTTTTTGTTTCCAGATATAGAACCTTTGTAGTTTGTGCTGCAGTCCGTAGCTCCACCGAACCATAATCAAGTTTAGTTGGATCCAGGAACAACAGAGACAGACCACTTTTCTAAGGTAGCAAGTAGCAACTAGAAATGCTCTCCATAGTCTCCATAGATAGATAATATTGCTCTCTTTTTTTTTAAATCCGTACTACACAGTCAACTCCACTATGCGACGTGCATGATACTGTAATTTACCACACGCGCGGATTCGCGTAGTAGACGCGTCCAGACGCGTTCCTTACCCCTCCTTGACGCGTTGGTCCGGGGCCGTCCGATAAGCGAGTGATAGCCACAAGGTGAACAAAGCCTCAAACCATCAATTGATTGTCCGCATTTAATAATGAATATTCTTCTGGAGTTAAATGCTCTTTGTGAGATACTTTATTTCAACCTCAGTTGACCACCGTATACTCCGTACCAGGATACTGATGACTACAGAGTAGAAACGTAGTAGGTACTCTACCTACGATTGCTACCTAGCTCGTGAGGCGGTTAGTCGCGTCTCTGCCACCACATGCAAGTGGCTAATGCACGTTCAGCCCGTCTTCACGACGTGGTTCGTCCGTCTGATGGTGGAGAAACCGCTTCTGCAGGAGACTGGAGTTTGACTCTGAACTTTTCGAAAGTTTGAAACGAACGCAGCGCTAGATCGGGCTTGGATCGGGATGGTTGAGACTGTCTTTTCCTTGGGAATTGGGCCTGGCGGTATGAGCCGAGAGGTTTCTCCCAGCCACCGAATTTCCACTTGATCATTGATCTGGCTAGGATAGCTGACCGCTCAATTGAGCACAGTACTCCGTACTCCGTACAGAGTTCAGGTCCTCAGTTGAATTTGAGAATCAGAATCGGTTCTCAATGGCCGAGATGGTAAAAAAAAACGTTGGTGATTCACCTGCATCCCGTGGTGCATCCCAATAGTCCCTCCCTTGCACTTTAAAGCAGTAAATGAATCCGCGAATAGTAATTGCAGTCTTCGCGGGGTCCAGAAGTCACCGGAAAACCAGGCCATCACACTAACATTAGCAGACTGCAGGAGCAATTCGACTGGCTCTGTGGGAGGAACTACTCCATCAGGACGACTGCGATTTGTCAACCTGGGGGAATTTCTGAGATTTTCGGGCCCTCTGACTGTCCATAGAGCATCGTTGGGCGCGGTGAGGCGGTTCTGAAATGCTGACCGACTGGGTTTTGGGTATTAGACAGTCCAATGACTGATTCCCAAAATCTCCAGTCAGGTAGAACTATAGATAGGACAAGTAAATCTTTTGGAGTTGAAGAGTTGCATGCAAACTCTTGTTACCGAACTTACCACGTTTGCAAGACAGAATTAAGGATATATGGAAGATGGAAATCATTTGAACATCAGGTCAAGACATCAAATGTAGAACCAAGGAATCACAAGACAATTCTCCGCATTCCAGAGAAGTCAGGATGATGATGTTGATGTCTGAGGATGTTATGGTGCCGCATACCTGACATAGATAGATAGAGCAGCTGAACAGCACCATCTGAACATGAAAGATCTTTCTCTCTGATCATCAAGATCATCATTCATCTCACCTTCTACAAGCTTGCTCCTTGACGTGTTCATAATTTCCCTGAGTCCATCCCATGTGATTAATTGATTGATTGATTGCAGGAGTGGAACCACCACAGAGGCCCTGGACTGCAGTGACTACTCCCTAAGCTTAGGTACTCTCTAGTACTGCTGTGCCTTAAGGGTACCTGAGGTACTGTGCCGTTTGGTATTATTACCGCTTACCAGCCCTCTTCCTCTTCTACTCCTACTACTACTACTACTCTTCTCTCTCTCCGATTCTCTCCCTCACTTTTCCTTCCTGCAACCCCCTACTGCTGTTTTCTCCTGCGAGCGCATTGCTCGCATCATTCCCGTCTCTTCGCACTTTTCCTTTTCCTTGCTTTTCTTTTGTGTTGGTCTGGTGTTTTTGTGTGTCCCCTTCCGGGTGTAAATGACCGCTTCCCTCTCCATTACCTGCCAAATGCCCAATGGACCGCGGGAACCGGGAACCGTTCGATGTGATACTACACAGCTGCTACTCCAACGAGCTTGATCGCAACCAACTTCTCGTGCGCATTATCGCATCAACTTGACCCTTGCACACAAATTCGATCCCTTTTCCTTACTCCGACCACTCACACCTTGACGAGCTTCATCTCCTTTTTTTTTGTTCCTATTTTCTGTTGCTTTGCCTAACGAGTTACGAAACCCTCCTGTACCGCCCATTCAGTGTCGACCGAAGCCGTTCAACCATTGATCGAAAAGGATCCCACTTTGACTGCGGTTGTCTTTGCGCTTTTGCTACTTTACTGTCTCCTCGAAAAGAGTATCGCGCATCAATTGCGAGTGAAGAAAGAGTGTGTGCGACGCCGAGTTCAAAGCCCGCGTTGCGGTCCGACACTCAAAGTCTTACTTGACAACATATTATCGCACGAGCGCAATGATATTCGGTTAGAGGTACCGATCAGAATTCAAGAGAAAACAAAACGCAGACCCATTTTTGGCAATCGTTGTTCTATTGGTCGTACCGCAAAGCGACCCCGACACCCACGTCATGGCTTACCGGCAGCATGGGTTGTCGCGCACCTTGCCGAAGAACTTCACCTTCTATTCAACAGGCACCGAAGAGCCTCGGACACCTGAACGTGCATCCATCCATGTGGACGGACCGCCACCACCTCCTCGCCATTCGAGTTGCCGCTTGCGAAGATCGCGCGTCCGCTCGGGGACCGACCTCTTCGCGCAGGCAGAGTACGATCGCACCACGCTTACCGCCAACCCATCTGACATCCCACTGCCCTCCATTGAGTTACCTCCATCGCATGACGCTTCTGTAGCTCAGTCATACCCTGGATTCTTTGCCAAAGATGATCGCTTCCTGGCGCCTCCTCGAGACAGAATGGCCTTGAAGACACCCCCTGCCCAGATCCGCGGCAGTCCGTACGACTCTGAAACCGCCGACGGATGGTCTTCGTGGGACTCTCAAGCTATTGGACAGTCAATGCAGCGCCCTGGGTCTGCCTGTTCCCAAGCATCTGACTCCTCAGTTTCCTCCGTTGAAACTTTCGCCTCACGGCGTTCCGTGGGCGGAAGTTGCACCAGCGCAGAAAGTGACAGTTGTGATCCCTTTTTCTATCTCGAGATTCCGCCGAAGCAGATGGCGGAGAAAACATCCGTGGCTGCGGCGAGCCATAAGAGAGTGAATCGAGCCTTTCCAAAGAGAGAACGGTGGACCTTGGATATGGACAACCACCTCTGGAATACCTATCAGCTCTACATACAAGATCCGACCCTCACCCCTTTCAAAATGACACCTGGTAGTATTCCCCCGCTCGGTGTCACACACCGGGTTGCTCGAGAGGCGAAGAGATCGTGGGAAAAGAAGCGATACAGGCTTGCACGACCGTTCACATCCTCCCTGCACCAATCGCAACCGCCACAGAGCGGCGAAACGACACCAACACCACGGACAGAATCTCCAAAGAGTGTCTGGCCCAAGTCCGAAGCCTCGACTAGGCGTCGTCTCAAGCTTCTTTGCAAGCGCAAATTCTCAATCGCGCCTCATTACCAGAGGCTCATGCAGTCCCGCAGCCCGACTCCGTTCCTGGATCTGTTCTCGCGCCCTTCGCACGAGGAGCACCCTCTAGACAGCCCCGGCAACAGCTCGACTACTTATGCCACGCGTGATCTGGGTGTTTCCCTGGTCTCTAGCTCTATGCCTGGACCTCTTTCGCAGCTTGCAGTCGAGGACCATTCTCCGCAAAATACAGCGTACGACTGGCCGCCGAGTCAGTCAGTGCCTTGCGAGTCGCAGGCCAGCTGGGCAGGACCGCTTGACAAAACAACACAGCTCCAGGCTGAACATCCGGAGTCTATCCCGCGCCTTGGATCACCATTTACATATCACACCTGGGCCCCGACCAATTCAAGAAAGAGACCGTACAGAAATACACCCAGGACCAGGCGAGAGACAATACACGTGACCGGGTCCCGGTTGTGCTCTCCTCCACGCGCGGAAGCTTTACCAGCCACCGACGACACCAACGTTGTGTATTCTGTGTCAAGACCCACCGAAGTGTCCACAGATCAGGAGACCCAGAGCCACCTGGAGACTCTGATCCGGGAAGGCAAGTTGATTGACGTCGGCAATCGTCGCCTGCGTATCCGGAATCGTGGTGCAACGACAAGCTCCATCACTCCTCAAAACCTCGACCAGCTCTTCTCTCCGCCCTCTTCTGCGTCCCGAAATGAGGAAAGCGCGCCTATTGAGAAAACCCTGCCCAACCCGCTATTGAACTTGAGTGGGGAGAACCTCAAACGTCTCGGCTCTCCTTTCAAGGTGGATGCATCTAAACGCCACGAGGGACGCAGAATCAGACACGTTCCCTCTTTGTCTGACCCCTTTGCGAGTGGACTACTGCCCCAAATCAGACCCGTCAACCGAGGTGCTCCACCCAAGGACCAACAGAACGTGACAGGTGCACTGCCATATGACCCAACTGAGAAGGGCATATCCGATGCGGAAAGAATCCGCAGACAGATCTTGAATATGTCTTACTCGAGGCAACAATACTGACCATCTTTGACGAGTCACTGATGCCAGTGTCGGCACCCTCATGACGCCGGGATCCGCTTTCATCTTGGTATCGACTTGGAATTCGATCCCAATATACTAATGACCTGGACGACTTTGGCCCTGACAAACAGTGATCAGGAGTATAACGACAGAAACGGTACTGACGACCTTGATGACAAAATGACTTATAAACCAAAATCGATTCTTGTGTTCCCACTGCAATAGAAACGAGACGATAAAATTGAAAACGCCTTTTGACGAAAAAAGCATAAACCCAAAAGAAACAAACATGGACATTCGGCATTGGATTTGCGCAGGTCGGACAACATGTCATATTGCAAATCTCTGCACGATGATTTGATGCCAGAGTGACATTGCCGAATTTGGTGGATGTACGACCTTGACTTCCTGCAACAGACATTCCGAACACAGCAGGATTGTCCTTTTCATTTTTCCTATATCTCTGACTCCGTTTGATTATTTTCATTACTCCCTGCTTGACCGAGGTAGCCGCTTTGGATCAGATTGATAGTTGGGCACAATACACCCCTGGAATAGGTAGCACACGCCATGCCATTCTGTTCCTGGTAGACTTGACAACTCGAAGATGCCATGGCCCCTTTACGTCAAGCACGACATTCCTTGCACAGATTTCATTTCCTACTCTCTACCGACTCTTCGACACTCTTTGAACTCAATCAAGAAAACCACAAAAAAAAGACCAACCGGGGAAAAAACCCCTCCACTATCTCTAACTTTCCTTTCTTTTCTATCTTTCTTCACTTTTCTCTGTTTTCGCCGATTTAAACCCATAAACCGTGCGAAGACAATCGTCTCGATCATGCCACGCTGATCTATGAGACAAATGACCCGACCTTTCTTCTCTCCACATCTACCCTCTCGTCTCAGACACAGACATGCTTGATGAAATGATACGGACGACCCGCAATGGACTTACTGACCGAAACGACCACCTCACCTCATAGATGACACGATTCAATTCAATTCAAGCAAGCAAGCAAGCGTGTTCGTTCCTGTTCTGTCGTTGCAGTGTTTCAACGCACTTGATCTCGTTCGATTCCGCTGGCTCCGCTTCGTGTCTTCGTTGCTGGCCAGCTTTTTAGTTGCATTATGCATCTATGGCATTTTTTTCCCATGTTGTTTTCATCTTTTCATCTTTTCTCGATCTTTCAACTTATTATGAATTGAATCCATTTGATTTGACTGATAGTGCTCAAACTCAGCCTTATCATTTGTAGTAGATTCAGATATCAGTTTGATAATGACTGACAATGTCTGCAATTTAACCAAGTCATTGATCTACTTTCTCTCAGAAGATTTGGGTAGACGTAGGTGTCATTATGAACAATCCATTTGTGAAAATAGGTAGAATAATAGTAAAGTATGATCAAGCATGAAACTGGAATCAGAATCCCAACGCCAACGCTGCCGGAGAAACAAACAAAGCAACAGGGTATAAGATGTGAGATCGTAACCATCATTAGAATAGAAGGAATCAAACGACGCAGAAAACAAAGCAGCTTAGCTCCGCTCCAATCTCTTCTTCTTCTCCGCAAAGACAGCCTCTAGCTTCCGGATCTGCAGACCAAGACCTTTCTTCTCTGCGTTAGCGAGCAGCCAAGCCTCCATCTTCTCCCGCACATGGCGCATGGAATGAGTGACAGGGAGGATCGGCTGGTTCTCAGCGTTGACGAGATCCGGGCCCGCGGCGTCGAGTTCCATGCGCGCCCAGCGCTCGGTGCAGGGGTTGAGTAACAGGTCGAAAACGTCGGTCCAGATCTCGCGGTCCCAGTACCGTTTCAGCGACTCGCGGATGCGGTAGGTCCGCACGGACGCCGAGCCGCCTTCGCTTTTCCGGACCGGAGTCGACTCGATGTATTTCCCGAAGAGCATGACGTGCACGGTCCCCGCAAGGCCGTACAGATCGATCTGGTGCGTCCAGGGCCGCAGCTCGCGGATCTCATTGCATTCGTGTTCGCCCGTCTCCCAGTCGGCGATAAACTGGACAGAAGGCTGGAAAGCTCGCATGTCTATACCGCGACCGAAATCGATGAGCGACAGGCCTTTGTTGCGCCAGCCGCACAGACCACGGGGGGAGTAGTGGATCTCGCGGGGCTCGGCGATCTCTTCTTCCACGTCCATGAGAGAGGGTGCTGTGGGCTTATCGTCGAAGCGGATGAGACAGTTGTCGGCTTTGATGTCGCCGTGCAGGATGCCGCACGAATGGAGGGCCTCGACGGTCCGGAATAGTTCCACAGTGAAGAACATGGCGAGAACCTCGTCCAGACCACCTTCTCCAGTGCCATTGGCTGTGATTGACTCGTTGCGGATCAGGTTGACCAGATCCAAGAGTGTTCCCTGCCCGCGGTAATCTTCCACGAGAATGCTTTCCCCTTTGTAGACGTGGAGCTCGTGGGCTCGGATGATACTGTCAGTCGCACGGGATAGCTCTGGTAATTGACTTGTACGTTCGTGAGCGATCCGAATCATGTAGAATTCCCATGCGTTCGGAGGCCCGACTTCCAGTTTAATCGCCTCGAAGCCATAACGAGAGTTACTGCGGGCTATCGCTTTTCTTCCGTTCGTGAGTTGGGAACCTCGACTGTCATCGTCTGCGGGTTCGGTTTCCGAATCGGAGGACGGGCAGGTCTCGAGGCTATCGACGCTCTCCGCAAGGTACACTGGCGCATAGGCTCCGGCTCCAAGCTCTCGTCTGATGATATAACATCTTTGCGCTCCGGGTAGTTCGAGAATTGGAACATCGAATGATGCCTCGTCACCGCTTCGAGGACGCTTGACATGTGTTTTGACAAACTTCTGGATCGCAGGCGCATAGTGGCTTTCCACTTCAGGGTGACCATGGTAGCCAGGGTAGGATGCAAGCGGCGGATCCACGGCCTGAAGAATGGTGTTGCGAATGCTCTTGTCTGTGGGATTACACTGGGCATCATTGATAATGACCCGATGCTGGTGTTGTTCCTTCAAGGGTGATAGTATCTTAAGGCTGGATCGTGCTTTCTTCGCCGTAGGACTCATCGCAACATCTTCAGGGAATCCAGTGAGATTCTCTGTTTGCTGTGGTGTTGCACCGATCAGCGGAGTTGTAAAGAGGTTTCCCATCTGCGGTTTGGATGGCGTTTTGGTGTTGTACAGATTGTTTCGAGCTGCTGTCATCGAAGGAAAAGAGTGCTCGGTTTGCTCCACGATCGGTGTCATAAAAGGTAGACGATTTTGCGCGACTACTGCAGGATCTCGATACGGACCATAAGGTGGATTATAGTCCTCTGGCATCTCGGGCACAAACCTTTCTCTCTGGGTCGTCTCTTCAGCGCCCATTGTGTTTTCATGGGGTGAGATGGGATCCACTCCCAGTGAATGCGCTGGGATCAGGTCCTCTTTAGTGGAGAATTGAGTCCATTCACCGTCAACAACACTTTCAGCCTGTGTCTGGTCTTCAAAGTCCTCCTCCTCGGCTTCATCATCAGATCTGTGGAAGGTAGTGGTCTCGTCATCGCCAAAGTCACTGGAGTTGACCGAGATGCGACCAGTGCATGTGCTCTCACCAGCACTCTCACCAGCACTCGTGTAGTCGTCATCTTCGAAGTCACTACTATCTGCTACATTCTCGGTCTCTGCCTTGAGTGGCTGATTGAAGATGCTGTAAATCTCATCAGTAGCAGCGCGAGTATGGATTGTCATTGTCGGCTCAGCCGTGCTCTTGCGCCGAATCTTGCTTCCTGTCGGAGAGTCGAACTTCATTTTGACTGGACGGTTTGTCAACGGTTAGTGAGGAATTGGAAAGTGAGAGAGCGACGGGAGAACGCAGCCGGGAGATGTTGCTCACTTGTTTGTGTCTCGCCTTTGACTTCGCGTAGTTTCATTTTCCGTGCTTTGCCAGCTTTGCTCTCATTCAATCCATCTTCAACGGCCCTTTGTGTCCCTGGATCTTTCACTTTCAATTTTTGACTAAATTGCTCTGGCAACTCATGATCCAGACTTTGCTCAATCACATCCTCCACCTGTGACTCTGAACCAGCGACATTGCCGGATATCTGCTTGAGAGGTGCTTTGTGTGAGCGCCAGTCTTTATTCATCCATCCGCGATGCATGGCCCGAAGTTCTTCGAAACTGATCTCTTTGGCCGGATTCCTACAATCAGGATATACTGCCTCAAGATTGACGAAAACACGCTCCCGTCGCCCGGTTCGAGGATTTACCGCTTCCCTTACATGATGATCTGGAACTTGTTTTGCTTGCATTGCTTCTGCGACAGGTGGATCTGAATTTGACTGAATACATAGAAGTAAACCGAAATTCGGTACATGCCACCAATTAGTCCTGTGATCGTAAATATATGGAATTTCAAGGAAGAATGACGGAACAGCAAACATGAACTCACCTCATCCCTGAAGATCGTCATCTTCTCCTTTGGAGCAGGCTTCTTTCCTGCCTTCAAGGTCTCTCCGGCCCACGGCTTCGCCTCCACACTGTTCTCCTTGCGTCTCTCTTGTATCGACCCAATGCTATCCCATCCCTTGGTCTGTCCTGATACAGCGGGCTGGCTTGCTGCCGAGTCGACGTCCGAAAAGATAGCCATCTTGGGCTTCCCAGACTTCGTCCGCGGGGCAGCCGCAGCGGCAGGAGCGGGGCGTTGAGCTTGCGGATCGGCAGCCGGGGCTGCAGACAGAGAAAACGGATCTACCTTGGCAGCCAGTGCGGGCCGCACCGCTGGTAAAGCGGGTGACGATGGTCCATTGTCCTGTGTGCGCTGCTCGTAGCGCTTCTGGAACTCGCTGTATTTGCGGATCAATCGTTCAGTTGGTCGAGCTTCACGGTCGACTCCCAGTCTATACACCTCCTCGGCTTGCGTCCAGCGTCCCGCGCCTTCGAGCCAAGCGGCGAACTCTTCATAAAAAAGCGCTAGCCCTTCACCGATATGGTGACGCGCCAGAAACGCAAAAGTCTCGCGCGGAGAGTCTGAAAAGAGCCTAATGTAGTGAAGCCATAGCCGCAAATAGCGAGGATCGTTCTTGTAGTGGGGTGATGAGAGGAATGTCTTGACGGCGCGTTCAAGTAGAGGAAGAAGACCGGACTCGGCAGTCGCTTGTGCGGAGGGGTATGCGTTTAGTGTCCATTTCACGTAGCGGTCATATACATCTAGCGGGTCGTCTGAGTCATCAATAGCCTGCAGTTCTGCTTCGTACTCCTGCCGAATGGCATCATTGAGGGTCCTGGTTTCGTTTGGTGATGGAGACGCGAATTTGTCACTAGGGTCTCTGGGGGAGAAGATGCGAGCGAGCTCCTTGGCTGAGCGTCCCCCTGGTAATGACTGAATGTTTTCCTTCTGATTCTCGATGATATCAAAATTGATGAGGTCCTCGGAGGCCGCCATGGCGGCGACAGATAAACAAACGTGCGGCAAAAGGGAGTGTTCTGGTGTGAGTCGTGAAGATATTCGTCAAGGGCGTAGAATCGTCAATCCTAGTTCGAGTGCGTCAGGTTGCCGATTGAGGAAGTCGAAAAAGTCGTCAGACGATGAATTGTTGAACAAGGTCGAGATAAAAAATGAGGTCAAGAAATGAGCAAGTTTGCGTTTATCGATAAACAGCCCCTTTCGGTTGCCCTGGCTATTGGTCACGTGTACACTATCCTCTACTTGGTAATATTCGAACTGAAAAGCTGCAATATCACTAGATGAAGTCTCAGACCGAAATTATGAAGGACGTATAGATATTTGTGCTTTCGAAGCAATCTAATAGACTACAAAATAATTATAAAATATTGATTGGTTTTCTCGAACAAGATTGAGTGCGCAATGCCACTCGGACGTCACGTCGCCAGTAGCACGCGTCTAACTACGGTTCTCCGCCTCCACGAACGTCGAAGCACCAACTCGAGTCAACTGAACTCGAACCCTTAAGCTGGGGATCTTTGCCTTGAGATCATTGTCGCGCCTCATTTTCGTAGCATATCATATGAGCAAGCCGACTCGATGCCACCACGATCCCGCAATGTGACGTCCAGCACCGTCTCCGAATCCTCCCTTAGAAGTCCGAGAAGAAGCGATCCAACGAAGAACAAAAAGCGAGACATCGACGAGCTGCAAGAGCAGAGCTCTCCGAGAAGATCCAAGCGCTTCAAGTCGACCGAGACATTAAAAGCATCGTCAGTCCTGGGCCAATCGGAAATAATCGACGGTCCATCTGCTGTCGATTTGAGGCAAAAGAAGCCGGGAGCGTCTCCAAAAAAGAGAAAATCACAGCCTAGAGTTTCGGTAAAGGAAGAAGTCGAGGAGGAGGTTGCGATAACTGTCAATACGAAGGTACATAAGGGGAGTCAGGCAGAGCCGGAGAAAGCAGACGAGACCACTACAGTGACCGGAAAGATCTCGAGAAAGAGGAAGACCAAGCAGGAAAAGGAAATCGAGATGGTTCCTCTGAGAGCTAGAACACAAGGTCTGCGCATGTGCGTAGGTGCCCATGTCAGTGCCGCAAAAGGTTGATCCTTCATCTGTTACTCGATGCGTATTCCCTGGCAGAAGCTAATAATACTCATGAAATTAGGAATTTTCAATGCCGTGCATAACAGCATGCACATCGGGTACTATAAGAGGATTCTGGTCGATTCGAGTCTAAAAATTGGCTGATGTACCCTCTAGTGGTAACTCATTCGCCCTCTTCCTCAAATCGCAGAGGAAATGGGACAACCCTCCCCTGCAAGATGATCATCGAGATCAGTTCCGCCAGATGTGTTTAGAACACAAGTACAATGGTGCAAAGTAAGTTACACAGGGCCATCCTCCTTTATTGATCTGACAGTTACTGATGAGCTTTTTCACAGGCACATACTCCCCCATGGTTCATATCTCGTCAACCTAGCGCAAGAGGACAAGGCCAAGGCGAAGCAGGCATACGATTCATTCCTAGACGATCTCCGCCGCTGCGAAGCACTTGGAATCACCCTCTACAACTTCCAGTCAGACTCAGACCATCACCACCCGAACCAATTCTTGTCAGTTCACTAACCATCCTATAGCCCAGGAAGCGCCAACCAAAGCAGCCTCACCGACGCCCTCTCAAGACTCGCCAAGGCACTGACCAACGCCCTCGAGTCCACATCAACCGTCGTCCCGGTCCTTGAGACGATGTGCGGCCACGGCACCACAATCGGAGGCTACCTCACCGAGTTCCGGGACCTCCTCGCCTTGATCCCGCGCGAGCACCACGCCCGCATCGGCATCTGCATAGATACCTGCCACAGCTTCGCAGCAGGGTACGACCTCTCCTCCCCAGCGGGCTACCAGTCCTTCATGAAGGAATTCGAAGACGTAATCGGCCTGCAGTATCTCCGCGCCCTGCACCTCAACGACTCCAAAGCCCCCCGCGGCAGCAAGCGCGATCTCCACGCCAACATCGGAACAGGCTTCCTGGGCCTCCGCGCCTTCCACAACATCATGAACGACCCGCGCCTCGAAGGCCTCCCCATGATCCTCGAGACGCCCATCGACCGGCCCGCCAACCCGACCATCGCCAACAGCAAGGACGAAGCAAGCAAGGCCCCTGACACCGACACCGACACCGAAGCCGAAAAGAGCAGCAAGAAAAAGACGCCCAAGCGGCCCAAGGCTAAACCCGCCGGTGCGAGGGCCCTCGTCCCGGACCCGTCCGTTTGGGCTCGCGAAATCGCCCTCCTCGAGTCACTCATCGGCATGGACGCCGAAAGTTCCGAGTTCAAGACCCTCGAGGCACAGCTCGCCGAGGAGGGACGCGAAGTCCGCGCGAAACATCAGGAGCAGTATGAGCGGAAACTGGCGGCCGAGGAGAAGAAGAAGAGTAAAGGCGCGGGTGCGGGGAAGGGCCAGAAGACGTTGATGGAGATGATGCAGAGCTCCGGGAAGAAGAGGAAGGGGGCTAAAAAGGGGGCCGAGAGTGAGAGTGAGTTAGAGAGTGAGGATGAAGGATGTCAGAGCCATTGATGCTAGCTGCTGGGCTGGAATATCGCAATTGGACTAAGTGCTGGCTCTTGTATACTACGAGACTGACTGAATTGGAACGAATGGCACTATGAGGATGCCCTCAATTGCTGATTATAAAAAAAAAAAAAAAAAAAATCGATGACTGGACGTAATGCTACCAATTACTTGAACTCTGATAGAGCGAGGTATCGAACAATATCACATTGCAATATGGGTATTGTCATGCGAGATCTCAAACTAAATAAGGAATCAAGACCAATGGTCCAACTCGGGGGATATATAGAGAGCATTGTCACAGTAATCATTGGTATCACTCGAAAACGAAAAAGGAAACATCCCGTCAACACGAGACGTCAATTGCAAATATGTGCACGAGCTATGTGCAGCTCAATCATCTATACCTCCACCCGAGTTCGATGACAGAAATTATAGAGACATCCACCGTGTATATCAATGACGATAGCCCTGGATGACCATTCAATCACCGCTGCCCCGCTAGTTCCAGACTGACAGGATAGGAAGATTCGCAGAAGACGCCTTGGACAAGGCAGGAGCCGAGCACAGGGACTTGGAAACCAAACCAGTGGCTTCGATGAAAGTGTCGTACAACCGAAGTTGCTCCTGTTCAAGGTCTTTCTCCCGACACTGCCCGGTCTGTGGGCAACTGTAAGTTACTTCCAGCGCTTGGGCCTCGTCCCACCCGGGGCGGAAATTGGGAGTCGGCGGTCAAGACTACCGGGGGTGCGGACTTGAGCGGGGACGGACCGGCCAAACGCGGGGAGAACGGTCGACCTTCGTTATCGCTCAGATTTGCAGTGGAAATTGTGAGCCCACGAACGTTGCTACTGGCCCCGCTGGCCCTCACTTGAAACGAGCGCCGATCGCCAACCAAGCCATCGGCGGGGGTGAAGCTGTCGTCTGTAGGCACATGCGAAACCGGAGCGACCATACTAGTTTCCAGATCGTCGATTCTGTGATACGTTCCACGCGAACGGGAGCGAGCACGACCGGAATCGTCACTTTCCGAGTCCAGGTTCGGGCTGCGCTCCCAGGTGCCTCGTCGTGCCTCGGAACGCATCTTCGAAATCTTCATATAGTTGTAGCAACCAATACTGGCAATGGTGATAAGCAGACCAGCAATGTTGACCGTGGTCAATTGGTCATGGAACACGACGCCTGCAGCACTGATCGTAATGACTTCCTTGAATATGCCACAGATACTTAGTGTGACAACGGAAGAGCGTTTCAGCAGAGCGAACTCGGCTGAAATCATGCAAAAGGCCAGCACACCGGGGAAGATTAGCAGGCAGACGGCAAAGACGCCGCCATGAGACTCTGACAGTGCGGCAAAGCCGTCGGCGATCTGGGCCGGGCCTTCGACGGTCAGAGCGATGATGATGAGCGAGACAAACATGACGGGGGTGAGGAAGAAGAGGGTGGAGAAGGGGTTGGATGTGGCCGGATGCCTCAGGAGTAATATCTGAGTCAATCCCCAGCGGAAACCCGAAAAGAACGCGGAGGCGATGACTAGAGCGAAGCCCACCGCATTGAAGGCTGTTTCCCCAGCGACCATCATGACCACGCCGACGGTCATGGTGGCTATGATAAAGATCAACTTGACGGAGGGCGTCTCCAGTCGGAAAATGAAAGCGAAGAGAAGGACAAAGGCGAGAGCGGAGGATTTGCACATGGTGAGGAAGGTGAGGGAGATGAACTTGAGGGACATGTTGCCCAGCCCGATGTCGAGGGACGTCGCTGCACCGCAGGGAACGAGCCGGGTGAGATAGAAGAATTTGGTGAGAACGGGTGTGGATTCGGAGGCATCGTGACTGTTTCTGAACGGTGAACCGGCCGAGGGGGATGAAGGGTGTCGGGGGCGTAGCGCTGGGATCAACCAAAGAATGAAGGACGAGAGTGTGAACTGGACGAGCATATGCAAGCTAGTCGTGAAGAGAGGAAAAGGAAACACGACACGGTCTTCTGAGAACATCCATTTGTTGTACTACACGTTGACCAGGAAAAGAGTCAGTATGCAAAGTCTAGACACGGCTTCTCCCCGCAAAAGGCAGGGGTCGGGGATGATGATGATCACTTACGACGGAGATCGACAAGGAAAAGAAGTACCACAAGAGGATGAGACTCGCATTGACGAGCAGTTTCTTGATGACGTTCCGATCTGCCAAACCCATTGAGAGTACATCATGTCGGGAGGATTTGACATCAGCTATCCGAGCATCCAATTGCCTCCGTTGTTTTCTCCGTCTGCGTCTCTGACGTCGTTGTTTCGCTGTGAGACCGGTTTCTTCATCATCGTGGAGCTCATCGTCAGAGCTCACAACATCCATCTCCATACTCTCTGCGATCGAAGACAGATCGGACACGTCTGCGTCATCGGCCGTCAAGGGTTTCTGTTCGTC